TGGTCTGTAATTCCAGCTACCAGGGAGGCTGAGACAGAAGAATCGCTTGAACCTGGGAAGCGGAGGTTGCAGTGAGCCAAGATCATGCCACTGCACTCCAGCCTGGCCAGTAAAGCAAGAGTCCATCTAAAAAAAAAAAAAATCCATCTAGTTATAACATTAGCTTCTTGTGTTCTAGTCAGTTATGTGCTGGGTATGAACAACTTTCCTAGATCAAGCCCTAAGTGACAAATTTCAGTTTCTTTATTTGCACAACTATTCCCTGGATGTAATGAGCAGATACTTTGGGGGATGTTGGAATAGGGTGAATGTATTTTGCAAGTGGATGGATATGAATCTTTAGGGGCCAGAGCATGGGCTGTGATAGGTAGAGTAACGCCCACCCTCACAAAGGTACCCACATCCTAGTCAACACAACCAGTGAGTATGTTAGGTTACATGGCAAGGGGAAATTAAAGGTTGAAAAAAGAATGAAGTTTGCTATTGTTAAAGGAAAAGAAATCTCCGGACCCCAAAATCACTAACCCAAAAGGAAAAGTCAAGCTGGGAACTGCCTCAGGCAAATTTTATTCCTAACTAATATAGCTACAAAGATAAAAAGCTACCTACCTCTCTCACAATTTGCCCAAGAGAAAACTCCTTGTGGGCCTCAAGATCTTTACCCTAAAACAGTTCTGTTGAATCTCACCTTGGCAATATAAACTGATAGCTTATCTTCACAAGTACAGGACAAAGGACAGAACTGACTGAGTCCTCTGCCCTACTGCTTATGTAGAAATGCAGATTCACCGAGCCAGACTAAGGTATGAGTGACTATTCCTCTAGCCCCTTCTCACATGTAAATTGTGTATTCTATGAAAGGTTTATCAAAGACTCAAAAGAATGCAACCATTTGTCGCTTATCTACTTATAACCTGGAAGCCCCCTTCCTTGCTTTGAGTTGTCCCACCTTTCTAGATGGAACCAATGGACATCTTACACATACTGATTGATTTCTCATGTCTCCCGAAAATGTATAAAACCAAGTTGTGGATGGCCGGGTGCGGTGGCTCATGCCTGTAATCCCAGCACTTTGGGAGGCCAAGGTGGGTGGATCATGAGGTCAAGAGATCGAGACCATCCTGGCCAAC